AACCCCCTGGGGGGCCCGCCCACCAAAACGGGGGGGGGGCCCCCCCCCCCCCCCCCCCCCCCCCCTTCCCTTTCGGCCCGCCCCTTACCCTCCGGTGCTTTGTTTGCGATTCCTGCGCCTGTACGTTTCACTCCCCGTCGTGGCCGCCTTTGGTTTTTGGTACGGTGTTTTTTTCTTCCGTCCGAAGATCGGCACGGTGTTAGCGTATTGGGGTTCGCCTGTGATCGTGGATACGTGGGACTGGCAGGTGAGCCGAGCAGGGGGGGGGGGGTTGCAGACGGGAAAATGAGGGGGGGGGTGCGTTTGTCGCGGCAATTCTCGATCGAGTGCTGGGGGGTTGCCGATGATGACCAGCTAGTAGTACTTGTGCGTACGGTGATGATCGAATGCTCGTTATGATATCCGTCTTTGTAGGTTTTGGGGTCATCGGTCTGTCCGTGAGCAGTAGCCTTGGCAGGGTTAGTGTATTCAGCAAACATGTTGGATACAGCATACAGTCGGGGAAGTTGGGTTAGGGTTAGGGTTAGGGAATACGGTCTGCGTACCCCCTCCCTGTTCTATTTCCTCATGAACTTATTAATCGCGCGAAGGCGGTCCTTCATGAGCGGCAGGTCGTTGGTGGGTCTAGTAAAGGTAACAAAAACACAATGACATATTGCCTTGGTAACACTGCTGAGACAACGGAGGGGCACATTCCCCTCTCTCTCTCTCTCTGGGACGAAGTACGGGAGTGCGGGGATATACTGGATCAACGTCGGGAAGCTTGGTAGGGAGCAAGACACCAACGCTAGAAAAAAACAGCAGAAAAAAGCTTACGATGAATCAGTGGCAGTAACGTTGGCAGGGTTTTTCTTACCATTTAAACATGTTGGATAAGAGCGTACAATCGGGGAAGTTGGGTTAGGCTTAGGATTAGGGAGTAGGCCCTGCGTTCCCCGTCCCTGTTATAGTTCCTCATGAGCTTGTTAATCGCGCCCGAGGCAGTCCATTAGTGGCCACACCGCACCCCCTTATTTGAGGCCCCTATTACCGTATATCCCTCGGCCATGTGTTGCTCCCACGCCCGTGTGACTCCCCCTGTCTCCGGCGTGTAGTGCCGTGTCCCCCTTGGCCCCCCTCTCATGCACCCATCCCATTCCTCTTGGCCCTCTTCCTCACGTTGCCACAATGCAATGCAAAGCCTGCTGCTGCCGTACCACAATGCAATGCAATGCAGCGCAATGCCCGCGCTACTGGGTCATGTTCCCTGTCTGAACAAGTTATTAGGCTGTCGACTTATTGCTGAGTTCCGTTGGTGGTGGTGGGGGGGAGGACATACTAGTGCCGGCAACATCGCGTTGCCGTCACATCGTTCCCATATTCCACTACAACGCTTGGGAAAAATGAACACACTTTAACCGTGTTTTTTTTTTTTTTGCCTCTCAGACGATGTTCCTGGCCTACGGAGCGCTCGGCCTTGCCTGGATAGCGCTTTGGCTTCCCCTGGTCTCGGACAAGCCCCGCAGCCCCGCCTCCGCGGCGGATGCCGCCGAGACCCCAGACGCCTCCGCAACAACAGCGAGCGCCGGAAGAATACGGCCGGGCAGGGACGCCGGCGGGGGTGTTGTTTCCTCGGCGACGCCGTCGCCGCAGGCCGCGCTAGCGGGTGCTGGTGAGAAGGCCGCGGTTGGCGTCGGGAGCGCGAATGGCGGCAGCGGTGGAGCGCTACCGGTCGAGACTGTGGCGCTAGAGGGGGAGGAGGGGGGTGGCGCAGCTGCTGGCGAGGGGGGGGGAGGGGTGTTAGAGGGGTTCCGCGCTGTGCCGTGGAAGGAGTACGTGACGAACGGGCAGATCTGGTCTATTGCGGCGGCGCACATGGCTCACAACTGGGGGCTGTACGTGCTGCTCGCTTGGTTGCCGACCTATTTCGTCCAGGTGGGCGTTGTTGTTGTTGTTGTTGTTGTTGTTGCTGGTAGTTGTGTGTTGTTGTCGTCGTTGTTTTGGTTGTTTTTATTGTTGTTGTGTGCTGTTGTTGCTGTCGTTGGTGATGGTGGCGGTTGGTGTTGCTATTATCCTTGTTGTCGTTTCGTTGTACTTGTTGTGGTCATCGCTGTTGGTGGTGGTGGTGGTGTTACTTCCTTGGCGGCAACGGTCGATGTTGAGAAAGTTTCGACCCGCCCGTCATGCGGACGCTGTCGGTTCTGTCGTCGGGACACCTTCGAAGTTGTGTTCACGCATCGGCAACAAAACCGTTTAAGGACTGGCGCTGTGCCACACGGCCTCTGTTGTTTGTTAATTGAGGTCTCATCTCGACCGTCGGAGGCAGGCGCTTCGCTGCTCTGCGGAGCACCCGTGTTCGTTCCGCCAGGAACAAGTCGCCCTGATGGAACGAGCATGCGTCTGCTCTCTACTCCTCGCAATACTCTTTTGTGTACATGGTGACAATAACTGCCTTGACAAGAAACCAATCACTCCCTATCTTTCTTAAGCCCCTCACCCTCGCCAAGATCACACGGTAGTACGCGCCATCCCACAGCAAACCCGTACATCTACAACAACCCCCCCCCAACGCTCACGATTTCGAACACCCGGCCACTCGTTCGTCTTCACTCCGCCTCAGGAGTTCAACCTCACCCTCGAGCAAAGCTCAGGAGCGAGCGTCCTTCCGTGGGTAGTGGGTGCCGTGGCTGGCAACATGGCGGGAAGCGGGGCAGACTTGCTGGTGAAGAAGGTGTGTGACCGGGGGGGGGAGGGGAAGGGGAAGGGTTCAAGTTGGGGGGGGGGGGGGGGGGGGGGTAAAACATAACCTCAAATATTCCGGGGGGGCCTTGGGGTTTCCCGGGGGGGCCCGGAAACCGGGGGGGCCCCCCAAGGGAATGGGGGGGGGGTGTTTAAAGCGGGGGAACCCAAATAAAAAAAAAAGGGGGAATCTCTTTGGAAAGCCGGGGAAAAGGGTCAAAGGAGG